ATCTGGGATGCTCCGAGTATCTCAAACCCACTGTTGTAAGCTCCCATCATCTGTGTGATCACCGTGGAATCGTGGCTGTTGGTCTTCCAACACATGGATGGATGGAATTCATTTCGCCCGGATGCACGAAGCCTGAAGGGCCTTGGCAAGCTAACTACATCCGATTCGTTGACGTTCGGTCATCAACTCCTACAAGCCCTCTACTCGTTTCCCCTGTCTCACGCCATTAACTATTGCCTCTTGACTTGGGTTTTAGCAGATCGACTTAGAGGCTGCGTTCTCTAAGTGTTCGGCGTCTTATCTTCAGCAGCTAAAGCGAGATCTGCTGGCTAAGACTGTATAGTATTAGTGGAGTACCCCTACTCTAAATGATCCAATCTCCGTCCTTCTTCGTCAAGATCTAATCTCCCTGTTACCATTGTAACGGGCTGAGCCCGTAATGGCCTCGGCAAACTCTCGGCCAAGACTCGAGATTCGGTGGACTTCTATCTTGTTCTATATCGGCGCACAGGCCAAGGATGTGGAGGTATAAGACGGCGGATATCTTGCAGAGTCGTTCATTCTTTTTCTTTTCTCTCCATCGAGACAAACTCGTAGAGTCGTCACCAGCTAGTTTGTCACGAACCAACTATATGCCTGCTAGAGGGATCACCGCCAAGGAAGTGAGCGCGGTGAGCGGCTCACCAGGATCACCGCCAAGAAGGTGATCGCAGGTACGGAGGTACCTGGGGGAGGAAGCTGTAATGCTGTATATAGTCTACGATCTTCAGGCCTACGGGCATCATTGTAGCTTCCTCAGTAAGCAACTGTCACGGGATTCCCCGTTCCTGTTCTCAAGGTTATGTCATATGCTTGCGGTTATGCATACGTCATGGGGTCTGATCATACGTCTATGGTCATGCTTACGCATAGGCCTCTGCTCCAGTACTTAAGGTCTGGTGGCACGCCCATTCCTGTCATCTAGCTCTTGCTCTCGTTGTAGCAATATCGATCTTGTATGTGCGAGCTGACCAGACCTTGGGTGGTGCCCGTCACACATGTCAGGCTAACTGCCCGCACGCTGCTCTTACATCGCTGAGACACAGTTGAGACATCCCCTAGCTCTGCTGCCCTGCTCCCACTCCACTTGACGGCAGCGCTGGAGATGGAAGTCGCTAAGCCTAAGTCATTCCTAGTTCTGACAGACCGGCATATAGAGCTTGAAATTATGATCTACAGACTCTTAAGCGTGGCCTTTAGTATACTTAGACGGGTATATATGTTCTAGCCGGATCTCTAGTCGGGCTGCCCAAAAGTTCTCGAGGCTATACTTCTCAATATAGGTTTCGCAACTTAGGATTGATCCTCCAGTATAACGACGCTTACTAGCGGTTGTAGGAGCTGAGCTGTGGTTCCTATTCTTATGAAGTATAACCGCCCCAGGAGTGTCACGGGTGGGACAGGCTGAAAGTCCAATGGCAGTTGTATTCGGGCTAAGCTACAGTCTGGGCTCTATACCGTCAGGTACGGGCAGGCTTGATGGTCAAGACGTAGCTCAAGGAGCTACGGCAGAACTCGCGGCAGCGAGGTGCAGGATCTTCAACCCGCAGGGGGCGCCACACGCTGGCTCCCACCTGTGGGTCCTGGTGTTGAACTGAGTGGGTTCCTTGGCACCAAAAATTCACGGACTGAGCACTGATGTTCAATGCGAGACTCTCAGTCAACACAGATCCTTCACAATGACGCAGGTCTTGACATAAACGTCATATCATGGCACACTGTCTCTATATAAGGGGGTAATTCCCCTGGGATGATTAGAGAGGACAATTTTGTTCCAAGAACAAGAAGGGGACATTCTGAGACACCCTAACCCACTATCTTGATCCTTCATTGTGTGGTCACTCTGGAATCGTGACTCCAATTCAAGCTTCATTTCATACCTCAATCTGTTCAATACCATTTGGTTGATCTAAGCTTACTTGAGCATGTAACTGTTGGCTGCCCAACACCTGGCAGGCACGGCGCAATCGCCGTGACACTAGTCATTGTTATTTCTGAAAGATTGCGAGGCGTTCCTTCTATGTTAACGAGCTCTGGGATGCCTCCGAGCATTGCGCTTGTAGTGCATATGGTCGAAGCGGGCGTATCTAGGAGCTTTGAGGAGTCCGTGAATCTAGGTTGAATTGGTCGCTCTATACAGTATAAAGTTACTCCTGGAAGCGCTTGCGGGGTCGATTAGCTCCTAGAACTAGTTATCCTGCGCTATATCGATAAAGCGTAGGTTCAACTCCTTCTGTTCTCCGGGCTGGTCAACTTGACGATGCTCTCTATCATACTTTGAGTTGCGGTTACGAGTACTTGAACTTACGTTTGTGGCTGTTGCTTCAGATTGATAATACTGTAGGAAGCTTTATTGCGAGCCGGGCTTATAATTGGTAGAAGATCAATAGCCATGATTCTATGGTATTATATCAAAACGAGGTTACGATAGCGGGATAGGTGCTCTAGAGCACTAAGAAGTGAGATTTATTAAAGGTTCTTGATCTTTTCTTATCTCCAGCGGTGGGTACCACCCTTATCCTGTTAAATATTTTGTTCCTAGTCCCTGTTGCTTCTCAACAGTAGAGCATCGGCAACCAAGCTTCCGAGTTTCAAGTTCTTAATGACTTCCAGCAACAAGCGTTTCAGAGTACCGCGACTTTCCAACTCCTCCTTAACCGTACTCTACGCTGGTGATTTAAGTGGAAAACCCCTTCAGAATCTCGTATCAATACCTAACGAGCACTGTAAGCCTGACCTCACCAAACTTCATACCTATAGATATAAATCCTACCTGATAACAAAATTACGGCGATATTGAAGGAGGAGCGCCTTAATCGCTTCAATCTAAAGGCTTAGATTACGGATCCGTACATAGCTAACTTACCTACAATAATTATCTTATAAGTCATTGTACGGATGTATATTATTATTCCTAC